TCGCTGAATCCTGCCTCCGATTCTCTGCATCCTGCCTCCGATTCGCTGCATCCCTCCTCCGATTCCCTGCATCCCCCTCGACATATTCCCAGGCAATTAAACGCATGTGAACGCAGCATCATGGGGCGGCAAGGCAATAGGAGGAATCCTCACTCTCTCACATGCTGCCCGAAATGGTTCCTCCTTGCCATTTTCGCGGTCGTGATTGGCTTGATGATCGACCAATCAAGGAGCATGTTTCCCGCGGTTCAAGGGGGGACTGTGGAAGAATTCTACTATCACTGGCTATCGAGGAGTGAGTATTTGCAGGTTAATCTTAATTTTGATTATATTTTGCTTTTGACTATGTCATATCAACATACACTTGTGAATGTGTTTGTGTTATGCGCACTTTCATACGCAAATACACACGCATACGCCCACACACACACACACACACACACACACACACACACACACACACACACATAAATGAGAACAAATACAACAAGAAATAAAATTGAATTGCGACATTTCGAACTCCGATATCGAGTTCCTATCGGAAGAACAAATAACCGAAATAGATCACAATTCAGTTTTACTTCTTATTGTAGCTGTTTCCCAAACTCGCACTCACACACACACACATGTGTGCATAAGGTCACACACAGGCACAATAAATGCAGAGCCACACTCACATATGATAATTATTGTAAACAATGATGTTAGTGCATATTATTATATTCGTTTAACGTCATTCAGACATTCTACTCTAGTGTTTACCCAATCTTTTAGTGTTCCTCTGTCATTCTTACCCAAGGCTTTGCATTATAGATGAACCAGGCCTCCGGGATGCCCAGGCCAACGATTTCTATAACGAAAGAGGTATGTGTGTATATCCGTTCGTGTAACTGTAATTCACCAACGTTTTGCTTGTTTGTTCAATGGTATAATCAGTTAAAATCTCGGTTAGTATAGAGAAGTGCTTTTCTTTGTCCACAGAGAGAAATTCGGGCTCTATCCCCGTGGAGGTGCTGGTAGACGCTCTAACCATTAGTATCAACGTTCATGGGAAGGAGGTGAGTCACGCTGCTCAACGACGGGTGTCATAAAGTGGCCACAGGGAACGGAACTTGTGTAAAGACGTGTTGTGGCGAACGATGGAAACCCTTGGAAGTTGGAATTGTCATTAAATGAGTAGTTGTTTGGATCCTCCATAGTCTGTGAGAAATAACATCTTGGAATCACTTACGCCATTTTCACGGCTTTGTCCGTCCCTTGCAGGTGGTAAGGCAACACAATGAGACGATGCGGGTGGGCGTTAAGAAGTACACGACAGCCCACAGGGGCGTGCATCTCGCCGTGCTTCATCCCCACAGCGGCGCCCTCATGCTGTACACCTTCTTCAGGACCTGTGAAGCCCGCGCCACAGAGGGCCTCGTCAACACCCTCAAGAGCATACAGCCAGGCAGGATCCTCGTCTTTGCAGCGCCGGTAAGAGGCAGGAGTGTCTTTTAGGGCTACCTAATTAATGAATGAAAATAAGATATATTTTTTGAATAAGTGGAGGGATCAATAAGTAATCTGCAAATATTTCGTAGTACTTTATTTTACGAATCAAAAGTTTACAATTATAAAAAGTATATTATATTATTATTCTGTACACACACACACACACACACATATACATACATACATACATACATACATACATACATACATACATACATACATACATACATACATACATACATACATACATATAATATATATATATATATATATATATATATATATATATACATACATACATACATGAACTCTGTCGATTTAACATAGTTTCCCTCTCCAAAGGGCGACTGGAGACAGCACTTGGACGACGAGACGAGTGATTTCTTGATCAAGTTCCTGAAGGGTTGGTGGGTGGGCGACGTGTGCTATGGGGAGATGTTTGTTGCTGTGCTCACGGTGGGCGGTCCCCTGTGGGCGGAGGGCGTGACAGAAATTAAAAACAGTACGCAGGCTACATCGAAGCCGCTGTGGCTGGCTGCTGAAGTACCTCGCGGCCCGGAAGGTAAAGTGTCAACCCGTCATTGAGGATTTTTTTTCGTGATGGTTCCTTGCTTTGCGATTAGGACTGGGTAAGTTTGTGTATATTCATGTTTTTATGTCAGTGTACATGAATATGAGTATGGTTTAATATTTACCATTCGAGTGTACCAAACCGCGTTAAAGTAAACCCCTTCAGATCACAGAATAACCAAAAGTTCTTCGCAGATACAAAACACATCACCATTCATACCTTATTTCCTTTTCACTCTACCGTAGACAGTGGGTGCGCGTGGTACGGGGACCCCAAACTGCACTCGCGAGCCGTATTTTGTGAGACTTACGAAGGGTATGGGGAACTCTGCGACTGTAACACCCGGGATCCCATCTCGCCCATGGCAGCTGTACGTATTGTCATTGTCTTGTATCCTTCTGTGAGACTTCTTCCTGGCGTCTGTCCCTATGTAATATTCTCTCGTGATGTCCCTGTGTGATGTCTCTGTGATGTTTCTGTCCTTATCAGGTGTCCCTATGTGATGTTCTCTTGTCCCTGTGTGATATCTTTGCCAGGTGTCCTTTTGTGATGTCTTTCTATGATGTAAAGTGTGACGTCCCTCTCTGATTCCCATCTTATATCCCCAACTTATATCGCAATATGTTCGAATATGTTCAATCTTCACAGTAAAAGCTTTAACAAAATAATTGTTCATGTAAGTTGTCATTTCCAATGTTTTATATTTTTATTTTTGAGGTTGAATAAACAGTTTACTTTGAATAATGATCGTGCAGAGTGTAACTGATAAGAGATTCTTTTTTGACATAAAGTGATGTCTTTTAGGCATATAAGGAAATTAGAAATAATACAAGTGCGAACGAAACTTTCCCTCTTTCCCTCAGCCGTCCCTGGAAACCAAGGAGCAGATTCCAGTAGTGATCGTCACGGCGCGTAAGCAATACAAAGTGCTTAAGTGAGTACAGAACAGTATCAACATTAGCTGTACAAACACTCAGACATGTGCACACATACACATTAACACACAATCGCACACACACACACACAACACACACACACACACACACACACACACACATACACACACACATACACATACACATACACATACACATACACAACACATACACATACACACACACATACACACACACATACACATACACACACATACACAACACATACACATACACATACAGAAACATTCATATTCACATATACATAAACAGACATGGAGACTCGCACGTATATGCCGATGTGTACATCAACTTTACTATTACTGTTGATCCTACCAGAATTAAAGCAACCGTGTTACCAAACATAAAAAATACTCATAACACACAACACATAATACACCACATACACTACATAGCACACAATATGCAACACACCATACCACACACTACATACAAAACATAGCAAACAACACGCGATACACAACAAACCAAATACAATACATAACACACAACACATCACACACCAGATACACCACGTAACACACAATGCACAACACGCCACACCACACACTACAGACAACACATAGCAAACAACACGCGATACACAACAGACCACATACAATACACAACACGCAACACACCACACACAACAACCCGCAGACTGCGCCGCCCCACAACCCACACGCCCCTCCTTTCTCCCCGATTCCAGACAGCTCCGGCAGCTTTGGTCGCAGGCGGGAGGAAAAACCACGCCCGTCCTCTTGTCGGTAGACGGATGGCAGAAGGAAGCGCATGACTTCGCGGGCGTGATGGGCTTGCGGGCGGTTTTCCACAATAACCCCGCTTCCGTGGGCGCCAAAATCCGCATCAATGAACACATCAAGTTCTCCATCTACCACGCCTTCAGGAGCTTCCCGAAGGCCGATAAGATCATTGTTCTCGAGGATGACCTTATACTGTCGCCGGACTTTATCAGGTGAGAATTTTTTATTTTCAGCGGTTTATTTACGGACCAATATGAATCAGGATTTTGTTTCATTTTCAACACTTTATTTACGGAAAAGTATGCAATAGGTATAAGTTAATTTACAGAATGATTTATATGAGGTGAAATCTGACTTGATTTGAAATGTATACTTGCAGAACAATTAATTTTAGGCCATATTTGATCTGAAAATTTTATTTACACAATCTATTTTAGGTGAGATATGACGATTTAATTTTAACAATATACATCAGGTGGGATGATATGATTTAATATGAAAAGTATATTTACAGAATAACATACATATAATATCGAGTGATACTTGATTTCAAACGTCTAAATACGGAACAATTTACATCGGGAAAGATTTGACATCCTTTAATAAGTTTACAAAGCAACTTGCATAGGAAGGCCAGTCACGCTAGGATGGTAAGCCTGAAATACCCAATGAATTAATTTTGGATTTTATAGGAAACGTGAAAAAGACGGGGAAATGACTCAGGTATGAAACTGGAAAGCATTTCTGTGCTTTCTTGCTTCACTTTAATAAGACCAGAAGCACATATGCATGCACAAAGGACACGGGGGCAGGGATAGTTCATAAGAACACGTGTATGAATATTTTTACATAACTAGAGCATGCACATACATGTAGGCGCAGATCACAGACACATGAATACAGACATGGACATAAGCACAGACAGTCACGAACAGACTCAGATGCAGACATTCATACACACAACACACACACGCAAACACACACACGCACGCACACACACATACATACATACAAAAAAGTGCATGAACACAAGATCCACCGAAAAAAATGCAAATACTCTCAATAAAAAGAAGACCACCACAAGCACAATAAAACCCGGATAAAAGCAGACACGAACAATAGAACAAAGGAGAGAGGGAGAATAAAGACGATAAGGCAGTCATATCGCTGAGATCACCGTCTCGGAGGAAGGGCGGGGGCGGGGGCGGGGGGGGGGGGGAGAATGAGTCAGCAGAGTGGGCCAGACAGGCGGAGGGGGGGAAAGGGGGTGGGGGGGTGGGGGGGGGTTATGCGCCGCCTTCAAGCCCAGCCAGGTAGGGAGTGGCGTTCTTGGGGGGGGGGGGGTGCAAGGTGTTGATTGATGGTGTTGTGTGCTGGGGAAATTTCGCTTTTCTTTTGTATGTGTGGGTGGTTTGCTTCGATTTATTTTTTTTTATTTTTTTATGATTTATTTTTTTTGCGGATGTGGGTTTCCGTCGGAGTTGGAGTGGGAAATCTTAAATACTCTCTCTCTCCTTCTGTTTATCTTTTCATTCTTTGCTCTCTCCTTTAAAGTTCCTTGATTCACATTTGAACACTCTCACAGTTCTTGCTCTTACTGTTCTTTTCTTGACCTTTCAAATTGGCCCTAACTCTTGGACTATCACGCAGAAACGCGTCGTGAACCTTCCGTCGCGCTCGAGTGGAACATCGACCCCACCACCCTCTAATCCTCCCTACCATGATGGCTTTGTCCTCCCGTACTCTCAACTCGTGTCACGATGCGCTTCCCATTGATGGCAGACGAGATCTCTCTGCTCTTCTCTCCTGCTCAATGCTCTTCTCTCTCTCTCTTCTCTCTGCCGTTCGTATGTATGCGCTTCATTAATAGCTCTCTCTCAGTGTCAATGATTATCTCGGCTGGTCTGATAGCCTTCCTCCGTAAGGGCATCAGGTCGTTAATCAGCGAATCCTACGTTTCAAATTCCGTAGATTGCTGCCAGGTTCCTTTCGAAGTATATCCAGGCTTCCTGATTCCGTTATCGGTTCCGAAGTTCTGATCGCGTCTCGTGTCTTCTTCCATGCTCGTCAAAACGGTCATTCTCATGTGTTGCATCTCACTGATTTTCATTCTTCCAATCCTTTTTCTATATATTCCAAGATCTGCCTCACATCAGAAGCTAGCGTCTCAGATCCTTCCTATTCTCAGAGTCGCAGCGCTTCAGGTGACTTTACATAGTGTAGCTCGCTCATCTCTCTCTCTCACTTATATTGGCCGGTACTCGCGCGTCTCTTTATCGATCTAGAGCATGTACGAGGTAGATCTCTCCTCAGGTAGTTCCAGCCGGAACCCTCCTATCTAACTCAGTTCGTCAAGCATCAGGCCATGTTCGGTATGTATTCCCCACGCTAGGCCCTTCATCACTCGTACGCTCCCATAGATGGCTATGCCCTCACCTAATCTACTCTCTCTCTCTCTCTGCTCTCGATCAACGCAAGATTCTGTCTTCAGGTTATGGAGTGTTAGCTTATGGAAATTATAATGGCTATTGTTGATAGGGGATTGATTTAAGTAGAACTATCCTGAAGTTGTGTTATAAATGTGGTGTCGCGACGATTTAGATTAGGTTGGGTGCTTCCCCCTGATGGGCAGACCGAGAGCTCTTCTCTCTTCATCTCTCTCTTCTCGCTCTATTCCAGCGAATCTCGTCATGCATGACTTTATACGTCTATCCTCTCACGATTCTACCCTCTCGCCTTTCTCGTCGTCCTCTCTCTCTAGGTCACTCTTCATCTTTTCTCTCCTATACTTCATCGTCCACTGAGCCAGTCTCATCTCTTTTCAGTGGTTCGCTTATCTTCTGTCGTCTCTCTGCGCTTCTAATAATGAGTCATTCCTCTTCAGTCCTAATCTTCTCCTCTACGTCGTGATCACTGCTATGGTCGTCGGATCCTCGTCTTTCGTCAGTAGACTGCCAGTCTTCTCTCTCAGCTCTCTTCAGCATAACTTACGCTCATGCAGTCTCTCACGGTCTCTCTCTCTTACGGCCTCTCTATTTCTATTATCCATCTCGCTTCCTCTCTCCTCTCTCTTTCTTAGCTACTAACTGATACCGACTCATCAGATTCAATGGCTCGTCTCCCGTACGCCCTCTCAATCTCTCATCTCTCGAGTCCGTCCTTCTCTCTTCCTACTGAGTATCTCTCTCTTCTTCGTCGTCCATCTTCTCTCTCCTCTTCTCCTCATGTCACGCCATCTAATGATGATACTCTGCATAATGCTTCCCTTTGATGCGAGACGAGCTCGTCTCTCTCTCTCCTCTGTCTTCTCATTCTATCGGTTCTCTCCAGTTCCTCGTCTCTGCATCTCTCTTCCTCATTCTCTCGTCTTCTCTCTCTCTCCGTCTCAGGTCTCTCTACCGTGTACAGCATGTGATGCTTCCATTGAATGTCAGGACGAGCTCATCTCCCTTTCCTCTCTCTCTTCTCTCTCAGATCTCCTCATCTTCTGTCTCATCTTCTCTTCGTATGTCTCCTCTCTCTCAGTCTCATTCATCTCTCGTTCTCTCTCTCTTCCGTTGTCCGTCTACTCTTCATGTCTCTCTCGTCTATGATATCTTCTCTCTTGTTCAGGATAACGTGCTTAGCACCTTTGATGGGCAGACGAGCTCTCTCTCCGGCTTCTATTACTCCTCCTCTTCGTCCTCGTTTCTGTCTCTCTCCTCTCTACTCATCTCTCTTCGTCTCTCTCTTATCTCTACGTCAGGCATCATCCGATCCTCATGATCTCTTCTCAGTCTTATGGCGTTTGTATCTCTCGTCTAGCCTGCACTCACCCGGTCTCTAGTCCTCAATTCTAATCTTGTGTCGCCTCTCTTCTGTTCAAAGCTCTCTCTGTGTCACGGTGCTTCCCCCTTGAAATGCAGACGAGTGCTATAATAGCTCTCATGCCCCTCATCTACTCTCAATCTCTCCTCTCTCCTCGTCTCATCGCTCTCTGCTCTCTTCTCTGCTCTCATGCTTCTCTCCAGTCAACCTACTCATCTCTTTACCACTCAACCCATCTGAGTAGTCGATTCTCTCTCGTCGTCATCTCTCCTCTCTCATCTTTCATCATATCTCTCTCTTCTCTCTCTCTCCATCATCGTCTCTTCTCTCATCATTCCTCTGGTCAATCTCTGATATTTTTGCCTCGCATCAATTTCTTCCTCTGTCGCTCTTCAGACTATTTGTTTAGCCTTTCTCACTAGACACCTCCCTATCATTAGCAGTGTTCCATTCACACATTACCATCGCTACCAGCCATCATTTATCGTTCCCCTCCGCCGCGCGACACTGTTTTAAGATATCTGGCTATTTATTTTACGAAAGGACTCCTGCCCAAACCGCTAGCTCCATGCTCCTCAACATTTAATTTCCAACTCCCCCAGTGAGCTCTCCACGACTCAGGTACACATAACCACCCTTCTCTAGCCTGCTCCTCCCCCTTCTTAGCATGCACCTTACTTACTCTCCTCCTCCACGGATAATTCCACGAGCTGTGCCGCTATGGAATCTTGTTTAGCTTTTCATTCTTTCATAGTCGATAAGACCTGCTGTTCCTCAGCGTCATTTTTTTTTTTATCTTTCCTTACTATTTATCTCCAGTATCCTTTTACACTTTACAACACTCTTCCACGACAATACCACGTTTCCCTTCTTTATTTCACCCTCCTTGCTGTCGCTTTTTCTTGATCCCTTTCTGGACGTTTTTCTCTCTTCTCCCACAGCTACTTCCACCAGACGGCGCCACTGCTGGATGCCGACTGACATCCATTTTCTGCTATCACACGCCTACAACTACAACAGCTTCTCCGCCCACTTCGTTCCTTCGACACCTCTTCGTTTTACCGCGCAAAACACTCTCCCCGCCTATGGCTGGATGGTGACAAGGAGGTGGTCCATGGATGTCCTCCCGCGCTGGCCTATCGTGAACTTCGTGAGTCCAGCAATTACGCACAATGGACACGCATTTGTTTCAGACGGATCGACTTTTGACGGCACGACGTCGTCCACCGTGCTCGAAGCGTTTAAAAGCGTTCATTGTCAAACGGTTATCTAAAGGCCCACGATGGAAAATTCGATGCGTCTGAAACAATGCATATTAGATGAATAATTAGTTGCGATAATAATAGATATAAAAATAGGAACGTCTTAACAGAAATGGCCGAAACATCCATTAATTTTATGAAAGGAATCGCAGATGGAAGCATATAATCACCATCAATAATGAATAGGATCGACACGACATCTGAGCAATAATCCTAAATATATCTCAATACCATAGGACGTAGACTGGGATTGGTACTTACGGCTAATGGAGATGCGAGGCCGGAGCATCGTCACGCCCCAGGTTCCAAGGACGAGGCACGACGGGAACGGAGGCGTCCACGTCGGGGGATTCGAACAGGCGACCTACATGGACAGGAGGGCTTTCAATACGGATCCGAACGCCGTTGTTGACATCTCGTAGTAAGATGGAGAGAATGATATGGAGATCGATCCACAGGAGAGAGAGACAGAGAGAGACAGAGACAGAGACAGAGACAGAGAACAGAGAGACAGAGAGACAGAGACAGAGACAGAAGGACAGAGACAAGAGACAGAGAGAGAGAGACAGAGACAGAGACAGAGACAGAGACAGAGAGAGAGACAGAGACAGAGACAGAGACAGAGACAGAGACAGAAGAACAGAGAGAGAGCAGAGCAGAGAAGAGAGAAGAGAAACAGAGAGACACAGAGACAGAGAGACAGAGAGACAGAGAGACAGAGAACAGAGAGACAGAGCAGAGAGAAACAGAGAGACAGAGAGAGAGACAGAGAGACAGAGAAACAGAGAGACATGAGAGAGAGACAGAGAGACAGAGAGACAGAGACAGAGCAGAGAGAGAGACAGAGAGAGACAGAGAGAGACAGAGACAGAGAGAGAGAGAGAGAGACAGAGAGAGAGAGAGAGAGAGAGAGAGAGAGAGAGAGAGAGAGAGAGACAGAGAGAGAGAGAGAGACAGAGAGAGAGAGAGAGAGACAGAGAGAGAGAGAGAGACAGAGAGAGAGAGAGACAGACAGAGAGAGAAGAGAGTAGAGAGAGAGAGAGAGAGAGACAGAGACAGAGAAGAGAGAGAGAGAAGACAGAGAGAGAGAGAGACAGAGAGAGAGAAGAGAGAGAGAGAGAGAGAGAGAGACAGAGAGAGAGAGAGAGAGAAGAGAGAGACCAGAGAGAG